CTGCCTGGCCTGCTGTGTTCCTCCAGCTCCACACTGTGTTATCTCTGCCTCCAGCATCTACAGTTCTTGCTATCTCTGGTTTGCTTGTGAGCCTCTTTCAGAACTCTGCATCTTTGGGACAACATGTTAGGTGCAACAACAAGGTTAAAAATGGCAACTTGGTGTCAAGTCATATGTTACATAGTAAAAACCAAAAGAACTGCGGATGCTGTAAATCAGGAACAAGAACAAAGTTGCTGGAAAAGCTCAGCAGGTCTGGCAGCATCTGTGAAGGAGAAAACAGAGTTAAGGTTTTGGGTCCGGTGACCCTTCCTCAGAACAATGTTATATAGTGACTGGCATCATAATCTACCTTCTATCAATGACCAAATCAAAGCCATCCATCCACTGTCAGGAAATGAATAGTAACATCCAGCATTTTCTACTTTCATTTTAGCTACTAACCCTACCTTCAATATGTTCTTATTTTGTCTTGAAACACAAACAGATTTGGAACATGAGAGCATTTGAGGTGTGCAATAACAGTTAGAGAATAAATAAAAGATGGATTATAAAATTGGCGTTAGGTCTTTTGCCTTGAACTATTAGTGTGAACTTTCTGTAAATTTTTGGGCCTTTTAACTCCCCGTTTCCTTCAAAGCTTGAAGCAAATTAAAGCGAGTTTGCTGAAGCACATGTGAATGTTTTTCCTTATTCCAGATCTAAGCACTTTCCCGCAATTTCCTCCAGATTGATTCACTCACAGGCAAAAGGGCTTTGTAAAATCTTGTTTTAATTTTTAAGTCAACACAGTGTGAGCTGGAGGAACACAGCAGGTCAGGCAGCATCAGAGCAGCAGGAATGTCGGCGTTTCGGGTCAAGAATGGTCCCGACCCAAAACACTGACTTTCCTTCTCCTCTGGTGCTGCCTGACCTGCTGTGTTCCCCCAGCTCCACACTATGTGTTGACTCTGACTCCAGCATCAGCAGTTCTTGCTATCTCTGAGTGACTTTTAATTCTTAATCCAGCAGATGGTGCTGTGCTATGCTCTGAGACGTGGACTGTCTACTGCAGACACCTCAAAGCCCTGGAGCAGTTACCACCAACGCTGCCTGCGCAAGATCCTGCGAATCCACTGGAAAGGAAGATGCACCCACACCAGCTCAACCAGGCCAACATCCCCAGTATCAAGACACTGACCACCCTCCATTGGCTGCGATGGGCTGGGCATGACCGACACGAGACTCCCCAAGCAGGAGCTCTACTCCCAGCTCCGAAACATCAGGCAAGCCCCAGGTGGACAGAGGAAGCGCTTCAGTGATCCCCTCAAGGCCTCACTTGCAAAGTGCGGCATTCCCACACACACCCGGAGGAGGAGCATCCAGGAAGGCGTCGAGAACCTCGAGGCTTGCCGTCGGGAAAAAGCGGAAGCCGGGGGAAAACAGTGTAAGGAGCGCGCTGTCACAGCAAAGCCCCACCCACCCCCTTGCCATGACCACCCTCTGCCCCAAGTTTAACAGAGCCTGTGGTAGTCGTATCGGTCTGTACAGCCATCTACACACTCACCCTGAGAGTCATCCTCTGTGAGGGACCGTGAGTGATAATAACTATCGGCATTGGTGTAACAAATTGGATTGGTTGTGTTTACCTCAGATTCATGGAGATAAACGTTAGTTTTCCCAGGGAAATTTGTAGTGCAACTGCTTTCCATGTTATCTAAATCACACCTGCCACTTTTAATTTTTTTGCTAATTTAACCCCCACCTCATCCCCTGCAGGGCAAACTCCTTGCTGAACTCCAGTATATTACCAGATAGAATAGTTACAGTGAAGAACTGCTGTTGACACATCTTTGATGTCCTAGCACCCCAGTAAAACCATTTCTCTCGCTCTCTCACATGCTTGGTCACTCTGGCCTTGATATCCTGGAACTCCTCCTCATCAATACTGTGGGATGTATCTACACCACATGTACTGCAGTCATGCAAGAGGTTACCTTTGTATGTGCAAATTCATAAGGGGCAATAAACACAGGCCTTGTTAGAGATACCCACAACCCATGAGCAAACTGAAAAGTAAGTCCTTCAGCACCTGCTGCACAATTTTCTCTGGACTTTATTGTTCAAGAATAATACAAAGCAACAGCAACTTGAACAATTGTAGACATGACCAATGAAATGTAGTTATATAATGTGTTACACATCCACTGTACATCTTGTGGAGTCACACAGCCCATTAAGCACTTTGAAATGTAGTCACTACTGTAACGTTGGTAAGACAGTGACCAACTTTGTAAACAGCAAAATCCTGTAATCCCTGTAAGGCTGATATACATTTCCTTAATTAAGGGGACCAAACTATGCACAGCACAAGGTGTCGTCTCACCAAGGCCTCAATAATTACAGTGAGATGATGCTACTCATGTGCTCCAATAAGGGCTCACATACAATTTAGTTTCCAGATTGCCCTTTGCACTTGCATGTTAAGTTTGTGTGATTCACATACAATGGCTCTCTGGTCATCTGAATTTACCCTCGGTTATTTACAAACATTCACTTTCTCTATGTTCCCTTCCAAAGTGGATGATTTGATACATATACACATTATATGCCAACTATCACTTTTTTGTTTGCACATATGTTCCTGTTAATGAAAGGCTTTTACACAACTCTTGTGCTTAGTAGTGAGATAGTCAAGGATTATTTGCTTTGGTTTTGAACATATTTAATGCTGGAGCTGGAATTAAGTTATTCTGTAACATAAAATATTTAACTACACTCTGCAGTAGGTATTGTAAGTATTACAAAGTGGTTCTCATGTGGTATCAAGCTGACACAGTGTGAACATGATTGATAAGTGAATTTGCTCAGATCATTCCCTCACAGACCTGTGTTCGTCCAGTGACCATGAGCTACCTTACACCTTAAAGTGTATGTTCATCTCGGAGAACCTGATAAACCATGTCAGCCTCCATAGATACTCTATATCAGCCCGAGTCAGATGACTCAGCTGTAAATGTTGAGCTGAAATTTGCTGAATCATTGTACAGGATGATAACCATTCACCGTGCCTATCGAATAGGAGGTTGGACAGGACCCTGAACTGTTTTTTTTCTGTTGGCAGCCATCGTTTCTGGAGAACTCGATTGGATATTGACCGTCCCACACCTTGTAAACTGACAGATAGACTGACACACCAAAAACATGTGATCTTCAGATAGTCTGTGATCCTCAGATATTCTGTGATCCTCAAAATGAGATTCCAAAGAACTTATGTTTTTCTGATGACTTAAAGTTGCAATAACTTTAAGTCCCTTAAAACACTTAAAACATCTTTTAAGTTAAGTATGTTTTCATTGTTTTGCATGATCAACATGTGTTTTCTTTATAGTTCAAATTTGAATATTGAAGTCATCCAGAAACATACAAAGTTACAGAAGATGCAGAATGACATATAGTATGTTTAAAATGTCTTTGCAAGCTAACAATTAGCTCAACATTAATGAGATTGCTTTGAGGACATGATATGAGACTCAGTCATGGCTCAGTTGGATGTATTCTTGACTTAGAAGATCACAGTAATCGAACTGACACTGTAATGTATTACTGTGCCTCACGGTCAGTGATGCTGTCTTTCAGCCTAAATAGTAAACTGAGCCTCTACCTTCTCTCTTAAGGGGTTGTCACCCCATTGTCCTATTTTGATGAAGCACCGAAGAATTCACCCCAGCATCCTGATCAATATTTATCCCTTAATCAACAACACTGAAAACAAATAAGAACATAAGAACTAGGAGCAGGAGTAGGCCATCTGGCCCCTCGAACCTGCCCCGCCATTTAATAAGATCATGGCTGATCTTTTTGAGACTCAGCTCCACTTACCCGCCCACTCACCATAACCCTTAATTCCTTTACTGTTCAAAAATTTATCTAGCCTTGCCTTAAAAACATTCAGCGAGGTAGATTCAACCACTTCACTGGGCAGGGAATTCCACAGATTCACAACCCTTTGGGTGAAGAAGTTCCTCCTGACCTCAGTCCTACATCTGCTTCCCTTTATTTTGAGGCGATGCCCTCTAGTCCTAGTTTCACCTGCTAGCGGAAACAACCTCCCTGCCTCCACCTTATCTATTCCCTTCATAATCTTATATGTTTCTATAAGATCTCCCCTCATTCATCTGAATTCCAATGAGTATAATCCTAGTCTACTCAGTCTCTCCTCATAATCCAACCCTTTCAACTCTGGAATCAACCGAGTGAATCTCCTCTGCACCCCCTCCAGTGCTAGTATATCTCTTCTCAAGTAAGGAGACCAAAACTGCACACAGTACTCCAGGTGTGGCCTCACCAGCACCCTATGCAGCTGTAGAATAGCCTCCCTGTTTTTAAACTTCATCCCTCTAGCGATGGCAGACAAAATTCCATTTGCCTTTTCAATTACCTGCTGCACCTGCAATCCTACTTTTAGCGATTCATGCACAAGGACACCCAAGTCCCTCTGCACAGCAGCGTGCTGCAATTTTTTACCATTTTACCAAATGATCATATCTTCAGCACATTGTTGGAGTTTGTTCAAATGGCCCCTGTGCCAATTTCTTACCATGTATTATATGTGATAATAGTGATCAGACTCATATATTTCAAAAATAAAGTACTTTTGGCTGTAGTGGACTCCTATAGTCAGGAACAGTAGAAATACGAATCTTTATTTTTATATGAACAGCTCGAACCTCCCGTGGGAAGAAGATTTAAAGCTGCTGACAATCATCAGAGACTGGGTTGGCTCAATAAGGGTATAAGAGCAACACAAAGGTTAAAAAAGAAAATGGAAAGGCAATATATAGCAACATACAATTCAGCTCCTGTGATAGCTGCTTGATGACAAATCTTTAATGGTCCATGCATTACCTGGTCTTGTCAGTCAACCTTTTTCAGTATTCATCCTTGTAGGGTGCATAAATGTCAAAGCAATTTCCCTTTCCTTGGTGGGTAGGTTGTGAAATCTGCCAAAGGTCTGCCTGAATCCACAATTTACTGAAGCCTATGTCCAGTCGTCGATATAAGTGTTAGGATTCCTACAGCTCCATGGGTTACCAAGTCAGCTTCTTGTGCCTAGGACATTAGCCACCAGCTCACTGTGTAGGTGCGATGCTCAGAGAGAGTGTATCAACGTGATCCTGCCCAATACTTACTACCCTGGTCAAATCATTGCTCGCTGTGTGTTGCGGAAACATGGGACGAGACTAAAGCCTCAATTTCTGGCCCCAGCGACTGAACAGCCTAGCGCAGTTCACCCTGAAGGGACGAGCTATCTCAATAACTTGAACAACAGGTCACCATCCCTTGCTGCTCCTTTGCAACAAATAAACATTGCACATTTTACATAAGGTAGGGTGAGAGAAACAGTCCATATTTGGTACACACACATGTCAGTGCCTTGACCAGAGCTACCTTGCCAAGTTTGAAATAAATGCGTTCACGAGGACAGCTAATGGTTCCTGCTACTCCTCTGTGCCAAACATTCTTTGGCCAATCTTCTCATGCAGTGTAAGTCCTCTATTTTTGTTTAAATGCTCGCGGATCTGCCTACCCGAAGATACCACCATGTTCATTAATATAAAGAGATGCCTGTCAGATACCAACTCACTTGGAGATACCATAGAAATCAGCCAGTTCCTCAGAGATCCTTCAAACACCATGTGTAACAGAGTTGTTCTCTTCAGCGTCCCATTGCTGATCAGGTCCTCTCGAGATCCAGGGAATCTAGGGCGAGGGAGGGACTATGAATAGCAGTATCTCTTAGTTAGCAAAGACCATTGAAAATTGCTTGTTGCTGACCAAGGACAATTTTTGCACGTACTTGAGGTCAAATTTGTGACAAAGTACCTTTTCATTTGTGTGAGAAAGGGATGCATATTCCTAAGAGAGGGCCATGACTGGAGGTGGTCATTCCAACATTCAGCTATCTGGTAGCCCAGCAGTGGATCTGGGGTTTTGGTTCAGAAGAGGACAGACCCCAGGGGTGATTGCAAGGTCGCAATGCTATCCCCTGCTGAAGAATTGGAGTAATTTCAAAGTGAGGAAGGTGGCAAAAAGCCTTGATGGGTTTTGGCCCTCTGCGTTTGAGAATTTGGGGAGGAAGGTATGTCTCAACGTTGAAGTCTTGAAGGCCCAGACCTTAGTTGCAGTCTTGCAATGGTGCCAGAGTGTGTTTTTCAAAAGCAGTTCTCTCTGAACTCATCTCAAATCATGATGATGACTCTTGTCCTTGTCTTGACAGCTGCTCTCATCACCCCAAGAGGAGAACTTATAAGCCCCTTGAACTCAGAGACCTGATGACGAAGGTGATCTAGATGTTAAAATTGATGCATTTTTGACATTTCGATGACCAATGGCATAAAGGGTGCTGGAAGCAGTGGAGGTAAGAGGAGTTGAAGTGTTTGATCAGCTATGATTGTGTTGAATGGCAGAACAGGCCAGTGAACTGAAAAGGCCTCCTTTTGTTCCTATCAGTCCCAGGCTGATGAAGAGTGCCTGGAGTTGTCCATCAGGCTGCAGAGGTTTGACACACAGTGTGAGGTACATGGAGATTCAACAGAGATTCCAGAGGGTTTTCATCTAATGGCATGGACTTTGGAGCATCCCATCAACAACAGACTAGTGACTATCATGTCAGGCTAAACCCAATGGCTGAAGTGATGGGATACTGAGCATGCCCTTTGACCTGCTGTGCATTACTTAGGCTCTGAATTCCAGTATACAGAGCCAGAACAAGAGGTGTACAAGAAACCTGGAGTCATGTCCAGCTCCTGGTTTCTCTCAGGTATGTATGGAGGGCCAAATGGGCTTAATCATAGAGGATGAGCAGCTATCAGGGGTACCTTTCAGGGTGCTTCTAATGGGGAAGCCTCTCCTCTGCCTCTCTGTCCATTGGCAAAAATGCCTCTGACTGCCATATTGCCATATAGCCTTCATGCAGAACTCATTCAGCATACCAGGACCTTCACAGTCTCAGGTAACCAGAGGATGCCCACCAGAGGCATCCAAAGCAAAGGGTCATAAGGTCAGCAGTCTGTCTACAGTACAGCTGGTATTGAGGGAGAAGCAACAAGCAACAGGAACTATTCCAGAGGACACCTCATTAATCAGACACACTTTCATAAAGGTGCTTAGTTGTAATAGGTCTGAAATTCCTAGATGCGTTTCGTCAATAAATAATCATGTGTTATGTTTGAGGCTCTGACTGTTTTTGTGTTTCATGTTGCTGCAACACGGATTATCTGAAAGACAGGGACGTTGCCTGGGACATGAAAGCAAGGTTGCTGGAATATTACCAAGGTGGTCAAAGGTCAAGAGGCCTAATGTCAGTCGAGGTTCAATACTCAAAGGTTAATTCTCAGTGATACTCAGAACCTATGAGAATAATCGGTATGAGAAAGAGGTCCAAGGAACTTGGAGGTGGTGATAGAGAGATAGGTGCTGCCAGTTCTGTTCTTCACTAGACTGAGGAGATTAAGGATGAACAGAAGTGAGAGGGTGTCCTAGAGAGGGCTGCAAGGACAGGAATGTTGGATAAAATGACCTTACTGACATTTCAACCCAACTAGTAGTGTCTTCTAGCTGAGGATAAGGATGGATTTTCTTCATTCTCCTAATTGTGTTGCATTCCCAGAGGTAGCCAGAAGAACCAAAGCCAACATAGAAAAAGCAATGAAATATATTCAGAGGTGCCTGATATCCAGTCTGCTGAGCATATGGGGAGGTGATGGCCTCGTGGTAATATCACTGGATTGCTAATCCAGAGACCCAGATAACGTTCTGGGGACCTGAGTTCGAATCCTGCCACAGCAGATGGTGGAATTTGAATTCAATAAATATCTGGAATTAAGAATCTAACAATGACCATGCATCCATTGTCGATTGTTGGGAAAAACCCATCAGGGTCACTAAAGTCCTTTAGGGAAGGAAACTGCCATCCTTACCTGGTCTGGTCTACATATGATTCCAAATCCACAGCAATGTGGTTGACTCTTAACTGCCATCTGGGCAATTAGGGATGGGCAATAAAAGCTGGCCTAGCCAGCAACGTCCTCATCCTGTGAATGAATAAAAAAAATCCAGCATTGTCTGTTACTTTTTCTTCAGATTTCCAGAAACCCCAGTATTTTTCCATTGTTTAATTTTTCTTTATTCTAGCAAAACATTTCATTGCCTTCAAACTGTCTTATTGATCACTTCTTCTTTAGTCAGAAACAGGGGAAATTGCAATGGGAACAAAAATAGCAGTTCAATTAAATATATATATTGGTTCTGCCCTCACGAAGGAGGGTTCTAGCAATGTTTCAGTAAATGTTGGGGAACACCGAAAGGAAGGAACTGAAGGAAATCAGTATTAATAGGGAAATGGTGTTGGGGAAATTGATGGGATTACAAGCGGATAAATCCTCAGAACCCAATAATATTCATCCTGCAGTAATTAAGGAAGTGGTCCAAGAAATAGTGGATGCATTTTTCCAAGATTCAATAGACCCTGGGACAGTTCTATAAATTGGATGTTGCTAATGTAACCCCACTATTTTAAAAAAAAGGTAGAGAGGAAACAGTAAATTATCAACCACTTAGACTGAAGTGGGTAGTAGGGAAAGTGCAACAGTCCATTATAAAACATTTGCAACTGAACACTTGGTAAACAACAAGAGGATGAGGGAGAGTCAACATGCATTTATGATTGGGAAACCATGCTCAATAAATGTATTGTAATTTTTTGAGGATGTGGCTTACTTGCTTTTGATAAAGTCCCACATATGAAATTAGCACATAAAATTAAAGATTATGGGTTTGTGGGTCGTGTACTGATTTGGACAGACATCTGGTTGCTAAACAGGAAACAAAGAGTGGGGATGAATGGAACATTTTTTGAATGGCAGGCAGTAAATATTGGGTACTCTGGGGATCAGTGTTCGGTCTCCAGCTATTCCCAATGTATTTAATGATTTAGGTAAGGGAACTAAGTGTAACATCTCCAAGTTTACAGATGACACAAAGTTGGGTGAGAGGGTGAATGGTGAGGAGGATGCAGGGATGCTTGATTATGATGTGAACAGTTTCAGTGAGTGGGCAAATGCATGGTAAATGTAGCATAATGTGAATAAATGTGAGGTTATCCACAAAACCAGGAAGGCTGATTACAATCAAAATGGTGATAGATTGTGGGTTACCACAGTTCAGGTGCAGATCCACATACTTTTTAAATAGATTGAGGGTTTCTGCATCAATCAGCAAAACAAGCAGTGACTCCCAGATGCGTACCATTCTCTGGGTGAAAAAAATGTCTCCTCATGCCCCCTCTAATCATGCTACAGATCATCTTAGATCTTTGCTGCCTGGCTATTAACCTCTCCATTGGGGGCAACTGGCTTTTCCTGTCTACCTTAAACCCCTCATTATTTTGTACACCTCCATTAAGTCACCCTTCAAACCCCGCTGTTCTAAGAACAACAACACTAGACCAACCAGTCTTTCTTCATGCTTGCAATTATCAATCACTGGAAACATTCTTGTAAAGAAACTCTGTATGGTCCCCAGACAAATTGTATGCCTCCTGCATTGGGATGTTCAGTACTGTTCACAAAATTCCAGTTTTGCAGCATGCTAAGCAACATTTCTGTAGTTCCAGCATTACGTCCCTGCTTTTGGTATTCTATATATAATCCAATAAAAGAAAGGAATTCTATTAGTTTCCTTTGCCACCTTTTGGCATGCCCTGCTCTCTTCAGGGGCCTGTGGCCAAACTCTCTGAGGTCTCTCACTTCCTCTACTCCTCTCAATATTCTCCAATTTACTGTCGTTCCCTAGCTTAGTTTGCCCTCCTCAAATGGATCATTTCATATTTCCCTGGACTGAATTTCATTTGCCACTCTGCCCATTCAAACAAGCTGCTAATATCATTCTGGAAACTAAGGCTATCCTCTTTACTATCACCTACATGGCCAATTTTGTGTCGTCTCCAAATTCCCAAATAATGCCTTATACACCTGAGTTTAAACCATCAGTATATACATCAAACAGTCAGGACCCCAACAGTGAAGTCTGTGGAAAACCACTGGAAACAGCTTTTCATTCACAAAACTATTGATTGACTATCGCCCTTCATTTCCTGTCATGGAGCTAAATTCAATCCAACTCATGACTTTCCTCAAGAAATTTCACATTTCTGACCAGTCTGCTCTGTGGAGCCTTGTCAAATGCCTTATTTAAATCTGCGTATGTAACATCCCACTGTACTGATCTCACTAGTCCTCCTTGTTACTTCCTCAAAAAAAAGGTGATTATGTTAGTAGGTACAATCTTTCCCACACAAATTCATGCTGACTATTCTTGTGTAATCCTGTTTAAGTGGCAGCTTATCTTTTCTCTCAGAATTAATTCTGATAATTTTCCCACCGATGAGAGAGCACGACTGATCTACCATTATTTGGCCCATCCCTCACACCCTTTTTAAACAATGACACAACAGTCACAGGCCTCCTGGTATTGGGGCTGGGATTTTACCTGGATCAACTGAATATTGGAAAATGACCCTCCGTGTATTTAGAATTCCCTCCCTAGCTTCCTTTAACAGCCTTGCATCCAATCCATATGCCCTGGTGATGTATCCATTTTCAGGACATCATTTCCTCCAGTACATCCTGTCTCATTCCACTAATTGTATCTAATATTTAACACTCTCTACAATGGGGAGGTGATGGCCTAGTGGTATTATCACTGGACTGTTAATAGAGACCCAGATAACATCCCAATAATGAATAAAGAACAGAGATTACTCAGTGCATTAGGTAAGACATGGTAGATTAGTATTAATAAGGCCAATTGTGGTGCTAATGAGCCATTTAACAAGCTTTAAGCCTCCCCCTTAATCAGCACCCACCACCTTCCAGTGAGAATTTTACTTCCCCAGTGGCAGATGCGTCAAAGGTGCAGCAAGGGGATCCCAACATCAAGGTAAATCTCACTCTAACCCTCGTATGATTGTGCCTCAAATCTCACTGTCATTCAGGCCCTTATAAGATTCTGCCCATTATTTTACTTGAGTCTATTTCTCACTTGCTGGTGCTTCTTGCTTAAATTAAGGGAGTAATTTCTTGTGAACAGAATGCATTGCTCTAATTTTTTGCTTGTAATAATTTACTCTCGAGAAGAGATTTCTCACCAGCCAATGAACGTATGGTTCTCTGTTGATGTCACCGTTGGATTTATGTAGAATTCATTTGCACAATTTACCAGGTTACCAGTTAGTTTGATATTCCTTTACAACGCAGTTTCTGGTTTATAGCTGCTCTCCTCGCTTTGAAACATCACTCTCCACTCTCGCCCAGAGAGGCCGGTATCCTGTGAGCAAGTCCATCTTTATTTGCATGTGAGCAGTCTTTGACTTTAGTACTGGCTCTTCAGAGTCCGCTCTCAGAGTATCAGCATCTCCGACACTCGTCTTTTTAAATCTGTCAGCCAGGGCTCCCTGATTGGACCACATTAACAGTCCCATTCAGGGAACTCATATGAGGCTCGCTCCCTGCTAAATCTGAGGATACAGCCCGGACCTTTACCTTGGAAAGCATCCTGGAGCATTTTAGCATCAGTTCAGGTTCCTCTGATTCAGCGCCCGATACGGCCAGCGTATGGCACACAGGAGCTTGCCAGGAGTGCCTCAGTAGAATTTCACTCCCTTCTTCCTGCAGCAAAGGCGTCGAGACAGCTATAACCATCTTGCCCATCTCTGATTCAGAGAACACGTCAACACTTGATTGAGCGGGTGAACCCAAGGCTTTTCTGACTGTTCCAAGGGGCAGGGCACATTTTACTCCTGCACTTTCCCATCATCCATGTGCTTGTTCAGGACTGTCGCACCTACCTGGAGTTTATACATCCCTGGTCCTGAGCTTGCATCAACCATGCTTTTTACCCAAATGGGGCCAGAGGTTCACTAAACTTTATTCCCTGTAGTAAGTGGGCTCTCTCACTTGGCAGAGTCTTATGACTGGCATTGGTGTTCCTGATGCCATTTCGACACCCTCACTCCCCCCGGAAGTCCGGAAGATCAGACTTAACCTGCCACGGAGTGTTCTACCCCTTAGCAAATCTACCGGTGCTATCCCTGTCGTTGCATGAGGTGGGGTCCGAAAATGAAATAAGAACAGTGCCAGCTTGGCATCTAGTGAGGCTGTAGGCTATTTCTTCA